GAATAAAATTTAATTTGTGTACATGTGTGCGGAGTTGTTCTACAGCTCCTGATCTGAAAGTATCACAGGCAGCAATCAATACGCGGAAATTCTTCTCAATAAGCCAGAAAGCAATCTATACAAGGATTTATTAAAAAAAATCGAATACAAATGTTTATGAGGTCTTGTAATCATTTATCATATAAATTTAAAATTATAGTGTAAGGTGACAATACCTTAGCCAGATTAGTTGACTTTCCAACGCCATTTACGCCACAAAATACAATAACATAAGGGCGATTGGCAAGCTTTGCTTCCATGGCATCACGGAGGACATCAACTCTACGCCCAGAAGAAAGCAAGCGGGTACATGCCTCAGTAAGACCGTATTTTACTCGACTTGTCACTCGTTCAAAAGTTCCCAATGGAGTTCCTACTAATTTAGCGCACACACTGGCGCAAAGACGCTGCGATATTTCAACAGCCACGTTTTTCTGAATTAGGCGTTCACGAAGTTGTTCTAGGCAGGGATCAATATCCTCACGAGTAAGTAATCGGCCATTGGCACCAATTGGTACACGAAGTCCACGCAAAAGACTAAATACCAAGCCACGACCACTTTCTTGCATAGTTTTGCTAGAGGTCTAAGAAAACAGGATATTACAATAAAAAAGGGATACAAAAGATGATAAATTTTAGATAAGATTATGTAAATATAAAAATTAGAATTAGATGGATAAAATAGTATGACTCATATGACAAACCTTGTCAACCATATTCGGATCATTTATTATTTCATTACTTAGTTCATCAATTGGAGCATCATCCTCTTCACCAGAAGATATGGCAACTTCATGAAGATCTCCTTGACTTAAAGTTCCCCGCAAACGCTCCAGACTTGCAGCCTCCGTCTTTGAAAGATAAAATTCTCCACAGTTTAAATGGTTATGATCACCATTTAGATGTTCAATGTTCTGAGAACTGTAATCTAAGGCCGCAGCTTCCTCTCTTGACACCGAATCATCCCATTTTCTACCTTCCTTAATACGCTTTCCATTCGGCTT